GTGAGGATTCGCATGAATAGCCCCGTGTTGAACTATACTCCAAAGGCGCAGTATGAAAAGGGTACTGAGGAGTATGTTATGTGAAAGGTGCCGGGTGTGGACTTTGGTTGTAAGACCGAACGAGGAATCTTTACTATAATTCAGCTTAATCTGTATTGACCCCGCTCAGTGTACTAATATTGTGACTAATGCACTACATACATTGTTTCTTGTCTTGTCGGATTATCGTGGAATCCGATGTCAGCTCTCCACAGCATAGACTGAAGTAGGCGAACTCAGCACGATATACGTTAAAAGTCGTGTCTTAACATCGAGCACACCTGCACCACAATCGATTTGCGGCATCGATGAGAGACGGAGGTGTCAGAACCTCAGAATGGAGAATGGAATCAGCAAATTCGGAAGGGAAGGGGAAGTAAGCCTCGAGGTCAAGTATTTGATGTCCATAGATGGCTGCGGAGGAACGCAGAAAGTTCTCAAAGTCATTCCACAGCTTTTGGATCAGTCTTTGGGCCGGCCGTGATGATATCCAGATATCCACGGTAGAGATTACATCATTTGCGGCTCACTCACGATCACGATATTATGGCACAGGCTGTCTTGAGAGGGTGTGACCTGCCTGATTCAACCCCACAACTGCCATGTGTATGGGGGTATGGGGGCTTCCGAAGAACAAACGACATCCCTTAATTTCATATATCCCGATATCTTGATGTCCCCGAGAAAAATCGCGCCTGCAGGCTGAGAGTAGGCGAACACGTTGCCGAAGTCATCGATCTCTGGTTTGTACGGACACTCTGGATTGTAAAATAGCAAGGACAAGGAGGATGAAAAAAGGAACAAATTTAGATGGCAGTGAACACCTGAGAGGTCACTTTTGGGTGTTACGGGTGTGGAAGGAGGGAAAGGTCGGAGAGGAAAGAATAATTCAGAAGGAGAAAGAAGTCCTGAGTCAGTCAAGAGCCATCAAGCCACGAGAGCACAGTGATTATGTAAGAATGGGGATGGGACCCCCCGACCATCCGAAGTCATCTTTCTCACCTTGTCCACCATCTTTCATATCCCCAGAACAACGACGCAGCACACAATTCCCTCCCTTTTCACTTTTTAACATCATGCTGGTGAACAATCCTTTGCACCAGTCTTCCCTCACTCTCAACCCCAATGACCTCTCTGACTTTGTTAACATGGACCTCTTTACCAATCAGGGCTCCGCAACCTCCGACTCTCGTGAGCCCTCACCCTCGGTCTCCACTCCGCTCTTCTCCCCTCTACCCATCATATCTGAACAAAATCCCTCCGACTGGTTCAATTTTTCTCTCGAGGAAGACCTTGTCAAGCCGGACCCACCCGTACCGCCACCAGTCACAAGCGTCCCTTGGGATTTCCTCACATTTTCGAACGACAGTTCGGACACTGGTAGTGCGAGCGCAAGAAGTGTGCTCTCCCCGTCTTTTTCCATCGATCCGCAGCTTATGTCGAGCCCTACACCCCCGACACCCGTACAAGACTTTGACTTTGGCGAGGTGAAGGACCAGGTGGAGAATGGGCACGAGGGAGAGGATGAGGATGAGGAGATCGTTACATCTCCACTTGTCAAAGTCGGCGGAAAAGGGAAGTCTCGAAAGGGTACCGTTCAATCCGGCAGCATTCAGAAGAAGACGATGGTATCGGCAGTTGTGAGGGACAAAGACGACCCGAGAGAAGACGGCGATGAGTGGCGTCCGTCTCCCGAAGAATACAAAAAGATGTCCAGCAAAGAAAAGCGTCAGCTGCGCAACAAAATCAGTGCTCGTAACTTCCGAGTGCGTCGCAAGGGTGAGATAATTACCTTTGCGTATAACTAAACCACTGCGGCTGACATAGGTCCCCCCTAGAGTACATAACAACGCTTGAAGGGGACATTGCTGAACGTGACCGTCTAATTGATGCCATTCGCACTGAACTCGGCTCCAGTCAGTCGGAGAATGCTGCGTTGAGACAGGAAATCAGCGCTCTCAAGAAAGCGATACTTGCTTGCGCCGGTCGGGCCGAGTCACCGGTACTGCCACCACCAGGTCCCATCCCCTCCCATGCCACTGCCACTCGGCCCACCACGAGCTCCCCGCTTGTCACCCCGAACACCCAAAAGGATCTTCCATCATCACCTCGTCTCGCTGCCTCAGCTTCCAAGGCATTCTGGGGAGGGAGTGCTGCCTTTGGCGGTGTCACACCCGTTCACACCACACTCATCCCTGAGAACTTTGTACAACCGCTCGCGAGCGTGAAACCGCTGGCCGGAGGGCGCGCCCAGGGTTCCATACTCCAACAAGAGAATATCAACCCACTACTCAATTCCAGCAAATCTGGCCTGTTTGCTAATCCCTATGGCGGTCTTTCTAAAGTTGCTCCATTCGACACGTTTGCCGAAGCTAATCCGTTCACAATGAAAATGCTTGATGCGTACGTATCATCTTTTATTCATTTAGCTTCCTAATGACCTCTGGGCAGGTATCGGATGCAACTTTGGACTCGCATGGCTCAATACCAACCAGCACAACCTCAGCAGCAGCCACCCACTTCTGTCACTGGCTTGGCTGCAGGTCTGCGCCCTCATTATTTCATGTCATCACGCAATCCGTCATCTTCCGTCTCCTCTCTCCTCAGCGGCAAGCATACTTCTGCATATCCAACACCACCCCCATCACCGAAGCTTGCCCCCGCCCCCGCACTATTTACCTCCACGAAAGAACTGCCTACTCCACAACAGGCTTTCCTTGCAACCATTGCCTCACAGACGCTCCTTCAGCAGCTTGGTAACGCGTTCTGGCAGGCCTTTACAGACCACCCATCACCGCCCGAAGCAACTCCTGATACCCGCCTACCGACTTGGGATGCTGAGAAGATCCAGCGTGTCCTCGAGGGGAAGGCAATTCTCAAGGTTGTCGACATTGAGCCAGAGGAGAAGCTGCGCGCTGCACTGGTCCCTACGTCCGCCCAGACCTCCCCTAACGATGCGAAGACACGCGATTGTTCGAAGGAGGGGAGTATTACCTCTGTGCTCGAAGAAGGCATGCGCGCGCTTAGTTTGGGCAAGAAGTAAGCATCGCTCAGTTTGTGTCTGTCGCATCATCATCGTAGTAGTGTTTGGTCGGTTTTGTCTCGCATTAGCACCCGCATTATCTCCCTCTTGTCATCCCCCTCGTCCCCATCTGCAGAACTTGTCTTTTCCTTTACTATGTGACCTTACTTACAGCAGGGCGTGTCTCATTCTCTTGTCGTCCTCCCAACCCATCCCTCGAAGAAGTAAATGACGATTCCATATCTAATGATTTCATAGTGATTAGCCCGCACAAAAGGTCTTTTGGGCGGTCGTTTGGTTCATCATCATCAGACTGTACTTTTCTTTTCTCATTTGTTGAGGTACTGCCGTGCACCGGAATAGAAATTCTCATCCTCCTCTCTGATGTGCCACCACGCCCTTACTGCCCTTGCCCTTTCCACTACACTACACCAAATCGATCGGCAATCACGGCCCGACCATCCGTCAGCACGTGTCCGTGTGATGAGGGTGTTTGGTCATAACTCACTCCACGACGCTCTAATCATGGCAGTCAATGTACCCATACGTTTCTTCCGAGGGAAAGCAGGTGACTCGATGAATCCTCCTCGACGTAGATTTAGCGCTTATCGGTCAGTGACAAAAGACATCTGACTGGCGGACGCAATTAAGTCGGTCGGTCGGTCTAAATCTGGTGAGCGGACAGGAAAAGTTGAGTTGAATTGAATTGAGATGTGGGTGTGTGTGTGGTGTTGATGTGTCTCCTCAATCGGAGATTAGCCCCCTTCCCCGCTCTGCTCCAACAACCTCTAGAGCTTTTTGCGGGTTGGTTGGTGGTCGGTTGGTATAAAGAATGCCACCTCTCCCTCTTGCCTTACCTTACCTTACCTTGCCTTGCTTTCTCGTTCGCTCCCCTCTCCTCCACCCTACCCCCCATACATTGGATCTGTGATCCTGAGCTTACTTAGTCTTCGTTCTCTTTCGCACAACTACGCCTGCACCGCACCCTGCACCGCCCAACCTTGATGTTCCTTCTACTCCCCGCCGCGCTCATCTTATTCGCCTTTGGTGTCTCCGCAGCTCCCGGCTGGGGACCTGCGCGTCCATCGAGAAGGGATGTGTGGGTCCCGCCGATCATCGAGCCTCACGAGAACACGGTTTGGTGCATAGGTTGCACCGTCACCGTCACTTGGTACGCCCAAAGAGAAAAGTCGTGAGGATGCAGACGTTTGCGAACTGAACGTTACCTGTATTTTTATTTTTATTTTTTATTTTTAGGAACACGTCGACACGGCCTGCTCGGGTCACGAACCCGAAAGGGACTCTCGTTCTGGGTTTTTTACGACCCGATGGCGAGGGAGTCGAGAATCTCGATAACGGTAAGGGGTGCCGTAATCTTTAGTCGGGCTTTTCTGGTCACACGGCCTTGTTTAGGTCATCCTCTGGCGAAAGGATTTTCCTTAGAAGCTGGAGAGGTTGAATTCGTGGTCCCAAACGTCGTTCCCAAGGATAACTATATCGTTGCTCGTGCGTTCCCCCCGACTGTTCCTATCCTCGCTAATGATGCTCATCGGTGTGGCAGTTATCGGCGACTCAGGTAATATCAGCCCAAAATTCATAATCACTGATAAGGAATGAAATGTGACATTCTGTAAATACAACTGTAATTTTCTCGCGATAATGTGACATTAGGACGGGACACTGTATCACTGCATCATTTACTGTAATGGACTCTTCGGATGTATTGCAATACACGGGCTGTATAAACGTGAATGGGTGCATCTTACTTGCAAAGGTACAAACAGGATCCTGCCCTTTGACACTCGCCAAGAGTCGCCAGAACAATATTCAAGTTTAAGTTATTGTTATTTGTACATTTATTATTAGTTTGGAGAAGACAGGCGTGGTCAAATAAAAATTTCTGCCGGAGCAAGGCAAAAAGTCGTTTGTACCCCAAGTAAGGTCTTGCCAGGGTTCGAACCTGGGTTTCGGGAAGTTTGGATTGCCAACCGATTTGATCCAGTTGATATCAAAATCCCGAGTGATAACCACTACACTACAAGACCGCATGCTGCTCTAGAATTTTTTATATCATAATTAGTCACACGCCCTGTCACGGTCACCCCCCTCGATTAGCAACACATCCGCGTGTTTCGTTTCGTCTTGTCTGTCATGTCAACACAACGCATACGCATCAAAGCCAGTTCTATTCTCTAATCACATACTTGGCTGGTCTTAGATCCTTTTTAAGAAGTTACAAATACTGGGTGATTTACGCGCGAGTCGCAGAACCCCGCTGCAGTTTCTCGTCTATGTCCATACCTTTGGCCGACGACAGTCCATTGGCTCATCCCCACTATTTCCTGGGGCCCATCGAGACCATCGTTTATTCACATCGTGCTCTTTCAAGTGGAGATCTTTCACTTCATGACATCACAGAAGCCTATCATACCCTCTCTACGAGAATCAGGCAATCCTCTGCATACCTTGCTGTTGGGTCGAGCTCTTATCCAGCTCTAGGGCCGCTTAAAGAAAAAGGTGCCGGTGTGGCCGCAGCATTGCGAAGGGATGTCTTGCGCGCCCTGCGCGTGTCTGCTCAGCATATATCCTGCCATACGCCTTCCCAATCGTCTGGCTCCTTCGAGGAGAGTGTGGGTTGGGAACAGGCTGCACCTAACATTAAACATGCGACCGACGTTTCTACATTATGCCATTACGCACTTCGCTTGTTATCAGAGATATTTAGGCTTCCGGCTCTCTCGTCAGCAATGTCGAGTACGTGCCAATTCTGATTTTATAACGCAACGTAAGAATGAACCTCACAACACCGTCAGCACAAGACCTCGGTTTTCTTCTAGAAGATGTTACTGCTATCCTCTGTTGTCCACAACTTCCGTCTGTCAATGGATCAAAGACCACCGTACTCGCGTCGTGGGTACTTCGAACTCAAAAACTCCCAAAAGAAGTTTTACTTTCTCGAATGGAAAATATATTATTATGCTTAAACTAACTCTTGAGGCCGCAGTCGGAGATACCCCTGTTTCTGTAATTGTAGTGGATGCGCTGAATGTGCGTTGACAACCCCTGTAGCACGTCGTGGCGCTGATTTCTTATCCACAGTGTATTGTTGAACTCTTGACGTGCCATGGACATGTTTTTGTAGCACACTTGGCAGACCTGCTCCCCTCTATCTTTCCCCTCGTCATGCATCCGTCCTCGGAACTTCGCCACCATACAGCTGCCGTACTCGCCTCATTTTCACGAACGCTCATCACGTATCGAGCAGCGATTGACAAGAGTATTATAGACTCTATATGTTGTTATACTCATTCGTTCCTCACACCTGAAACCACGCGTCACCCTACGTCTTCGCGGAAACTTTTTCCTTTGCTTGATGCGGCTGTCTCATCTAGGGATTTTGGTAATGCGGGCGAGAATGCGCCGTGGGCATTGACTGTCGTCGCAAACTTCACTGTACTCCTTGGTTCCTCACTTTTTCTGCACCATGGACCTCTCAAGTTCGTGATGAACATCACGCAGAAAGCTCTGAAACGTCACCCAGGACGCGATCTGAACCCCCACGTCTGGAGCACTTTCATTTGGTCGATGACTCAACTTTGTGCGCAACAAGGCTCGACTTCGGATGAAGATGTTGATATCGTTCGGCGTTGCGTTCTGGTGCTTAAACAAGCATTGCATGGTGGCCTCGGTGCGGCCCTAATCACCTCACTTCTCGGGGCAATCCCTGCAGGACACCGAAGCGGAAGTATACATAGATGGGCTATTTCAAGCACTATTGATATCGTGCATGATATGTTGTCAAGCAACCTTGAGAACATTCGAGACGAGGGGTATCGCCTACTGGTATGCCTCACACGGGAATCTGGGGAGCGTGACAACAACGCGTCGCATGAGACAGAATGGAGCGCTGACTTTCTACTCTCACAATTCCTCTTTGACGGCTCACTCCTTCATGCCGATAAATACCTAATTGAAGAGAAGGTGGGTTCAATGCGTATCTTCTCGCCCAGGTGTCTGTCTCAGGAAGAGATTCTGGAGCACTGGGGACCAATATCATCCTGCTTTGTTTCGATGGTCCGAATTCGTCTCAAGGCTGACGACACTGTTTTGGCGGTAGGTTCCTCTAAATTACTTCCAGTCCCTTCTTACGTGTCCTGGTCTAGACTATCCTTTCTATGTGGCAGTCCCTCCTAATGGTTCAATCCAATCGGTTTCAAGGGAACGGCCAAGCTGCTATCTCCCCTGATTTCGGCCAGCGGTTGATCCCTCTGCTCTCTCAGTTCCTCCCAAAGCTTTCCATCTCTCTTTCTGGTGACGCAGAGTCGGTCGAGATCCAATTGAAGTCGCTTTTTGTATCAAGGCAGCTTTGGACTGTTATCCAGAATGTCTTCTCACGACCCTCACTCACTGCGGTTGCTTCCTCTTTCCTGGCGGCCACTCTGCAGCGTAAATTCCATCTTTCCGACCAGGAGTTACTCAGAAACTGGAGTCTTCTGTGTTCAGATCTGATCGTAGTCGGTATTCCAAATGTGCTTGAGTCTATTTCTCATCAGGACGATGAATCGAGTGCTCTTGAGGTGAAGAAGCAGCTTTGGCGCCTAGTGGTTACGCACTGCGAGCCAGGACAGGGCAACTGGCGTAGTTCCACCTCGATTCATGTCTTTCCCATTGGGTGAGTAACTACACAGCTAACAAAGATCCGCCCTAATGGATAGGTCATGCACAATAGCTCTTGGTGCATGTCAGAGGACGATCTCGACGTCTGGGAAAGAGCATTCGAGCGAATCTTCTCGTCAGGGGCCGCTAAAGCTGTAGATCTCATAGATGAGATTTCAGGGCAATGTCCAGCTATCGGTCCAAGGTATGCGGTCGTCCGGTTGCACATTCTAATTGGCAATGATCTGGTGTAGTTTCCCCATAAGTACTGCGATGCGCATTGCTCTTGCGATCTTCCGGCGTCTCGATCTTGATGAAGAGGATTCCATTCCGGCCAGGACACTGTCTTTTCTAAACAAAATCCTCGCCGCCTCCTATCCACCTCAACCAAGCACAGTCAAATCAACTTCTGAGCTGATCAAAGTCTTTCACCATATGATAATAGCGATACCTCTTTCATTACTTGAATCAGTTATCCTCGCGGTACAAATGGGACTGGTCATTTGGATAGAGGACAAGTGCGTCTCCCTGTCGGAGGAAGAATATAATAACCTCGTCTGTGACCTTCCGTCATTCATCTCACGTCACCTCGCTTAGTCACCTCTATAGATCATGTCTCTCTACGATTCACTCCTTTGCCGTTTACAGACGCTTCCACTCTCCGTTACGCTTTTGAATGCCCTGGTTCCGCTCCTCACTGCAGCATTTTCGCGAATTCCACCACCAGCGCTCGGTCCAGCCGCGTTTCAGCGCTTCTTTCACACAGTACATCCTCGTCTTGCGGTTCCAACTACCGCGTACAGTGATGAGTTGCGCGTGTGCCTTGATGCTTGTGTGCGCAGCTACGGAGGCGAGTGGCCACCCGGAATGGCTCCGTTGAGCTCAAGCTCGCAATCACAAACGCAGTTGCAAAACGAGGGTGAATTACTGAATAAGGCACTGGCGCTGCCCAGGGTCGGCTATGATATTGGGGAGCGGTATACTCCTACACGATTACTAGAGGTAATAGTTTGGTCACGCTCCTCAAGATCTCCGCTTAATATTCTTGCGGACCCGTAGCACGAAGTTATCCCGGACTCGCAATGCGCCACATCGAGCCCAGTTGTCATACATGCGTCACCACGGGCGAGGTTGATCCTTGAACCTCCACATAAACCCGTGTCTTCGATATCCTCTAACGCCCATAAGATTTCTTCTCGAGTGCACTTGGTAGCTGGATCGTCAAGAAGAAATCCCATAATATACCATGAACCCGCCGGATCACACAGCGGGTCGACCTTAAAGAAGCGCCGCGTACCCCAAGCCATGTCACCGGCCAAGCGTCGCCGCGCAAGCTCGACCAACAGTGGGTTGCACAAGTGCTCAATACCTCTCGCTCACGTGTCCTTGCAAAACTCACCTACCCTATCAACATCAAAGGCTATTCCGCACACTAGACTACTCATGGATTGCGTCGAAGTTACGCCTCTCCGCAAAATCTCGCACCACTGGGGGGTACAAGGGGAAGGAGACAATACACGAGGGCAAAAACGGGATGAACCAGAGGATTATGAAGCATGGGAGACTACCCCGAGACCCCTTTCGTGCCCAGGATGAAGAGGGAGCTGCTGGAGAGAGACGAGATCGGTAAGCCCGTCTTTCCGAGTCACCGTGATGTCGGGTTTAATACAGAATCAAATTAATTGGCAGTGCCCGAAACACCTGACGCAGAGCTGCGTTACACACCGGCGGCCTCGTTCATGCGTAAAGTACCAGGCGAGCAACTTTTGTCATCAGACACACGACTTAACTTTGACCTTTTCTTGGCTTGACAACGCTCTGTAGATTCAAGCGGTAGTAGTCCTACAAGGCTGCCCACCAAGGCACGGCCCTTAGAGAGTACGCCGATGGCACCGACGCGACGGGCGGCCACGTTGCATGAAGTGCATGAGGTGCGAAAGGGTGTCCTCACGTCCTGAGCTGTCGTAGATGTAGATACACGCCGAGGACCCAGCTGACTCGGCCCAACTGTGCACTGGACTACCCCTGTCGCATAAATGTGACAAAGTGACGTGACAATCTATGCGAGCCATAGTTTCGGTTCGGGACCGTTGGGAGATCTGCGGGGGATTTCTCTTTTGGATAATTGTAATCTGATTGGCTAGCTGAAGGTAGATGTCAGGCGAGTGCCAAGAATTAATTTTTTTGTTTTTTTATTTATTTATTTTGGGGCAAGTCAACTGGGCATTTCTGTCCCAGTGTACTCTCGGATTATCCAGACACTGTATAGTTCCAAGCCACCGTTACACACCTTGCCAGATATTACTTGTGTTGTTGTTATCACTAGTTTTACTCTCAAATTGTATGTGACCATACTCAATTCGTTCGTTTTCCTACATGTCGGCCGCGC